AGAATCAGACTTAGGGTCAGTTTTCTTAGTGCTGCAGCAAAAGCAGCTGCTTTTTCTCAGTCTCTTTGTTTTCTCTCCTTGACTTCCTCCTCGTTACAGCTATAGAATACTGAGAAGGCAATTCTTACATCTCAAGTGAGCCATCTGGGGCAAAAGCCATTTTTTGTAGCTTTTTCTCTCCAGCCTCCCATCACATTGGGACCCCACAACCACTTAGTGTCCTCTCCCCAACCATCAGCACAGGCAGAGGATTCTCGCTGCAGACCTCCCCGGACCTCCACGTGCTCCTCCACCACAGCCTGTACTGTCAGGGGAAGAATGGCTTCCCGGGGATCTCCTCAGGTATTGCACAAGGTCCTCCTAGTTTGCAGCTTCCAAGCGGCTCTCATGACCGCAGTCCACAGGACCTCTGACTCCTCAGGTTTAGTCTGCATTCTCATGTTCTCCAAGTCCTTGTTCAGCAGCTGCTCCTCTGCTGACTCTAGACCTTTCTGGTTCTCAAAGGCAGGGACAAGAGTGACCTGTTGTGTGGCATGTATTCCCAAGGGTTTCTCCATGTCAGAATGATTCATGCACATCTGTAGGCGGGCCTCCTCAGCCAGTGTGTGGTGGGCCAATTGTGTCATTGCTTCTCTGTGCCATGATAGTTCTGATTTGTGCAGCGGCAGCTGTCCCTAGGGCAGGTGCCCCTTGCCGCATGGTCTCCTGGGAGCCGGGGGCCCTCTTCCCAGGCGCCTGAGAGGCTGGGGGCTGCCACATTGGACAATTTTTTAAACCACTATCAATATTCTAATTTTAATTTCTGCCTCTGCTAAACATGTTTATAAAATACATTTAGGAGTCAATAACTTTAACATATTGTACAATATACAGACTAGCAAAAGAATATGGTTGGATAAATAAAACCTTCTTTTGTCCCTACCAGTTCCAACTGGGTGAGATTTTTCATTTCTTGGTAGGCTGGACAAATCTCCTTCCTCAGCCAGAAGAGTTACCGAAGGCAGGCCATGTAGCCTTTTTTTTTTTTTTTTTCCGGTACAGGGAACCGAACTCATGACCTTGCGCTTGCCAGGCAGGCGCTTTGCCGCTGAGCTAAATCCCCAGCCCCCATGTAGCCTTTTATACCATTTAAGAATAAGGAGTCAAATTTGAGGGTGAAGGATGATGGAAGCAATAAAGATATGTCAAAAGGAGGCCAGAGCCGGGTGTGGTGGCGCATGCCTGTAATTCCAGCACTCAGACGGCTGAGGCAGGAGGATCATTGCAAGTTTGAGGCCAGCCTGGGCTACAAAGTGGCTTAAGGTCAGCCTGAACTGCATACCGAGACCCTGTCTGAAAAAAGACAAAACGAAACAAAACAAAAAAACAACCAAAAGGAGGTAAGTAAAAATCATACTTTTGAAAATAAAAATTATACCTTCATGCCACAGGTTCATTTTTATTTTATTTACACTATACCAGGAGCAGAATTAGCAGGAAACATGCCCACTTTCATAAAAGTTTGTTAAGACAAAAATTTCTTATCAGACCACTTTTAACCTATAAAACGTATTTTTGGGCAGGGGATATTAGCTCAGTGGTATAAGCACCTGCCTGGCAGGTGCAAGGTCCTGAGTTCAATCCCCAGTACCAAAAAAAAAAAAAAGAAAAACCCGTATTTTTACCATTGAATGAACCATTACTGTCTGCGAGTGAGCCATTCTCCTCCACCTACCCAAACAAACCTGACTACACATGGTCAACTGTCAAAATACATAAAGTGTCCCTGTTCCAAACTATAGTGCAGATCTCTGCCTTGAAGGTCCACACACTACTTCTGAGTATGTACTAAAATTTCTGTCTTATAAACCTTCTCTGTGCCTCTAATTTATATGTCTCAAAATTATTTTTTCTGTGAAGGGACTCAGGGAACCTCCAGAACTTCCAAGGTTATGGCAGATAGAGTTCTCAGACCAAGTTCAATAACAAGACTATTGGAGATGAAAGAGAAGACCAGGGAAGAGAGAAAAGGAGTCGTAATGGGAGGATGGATATAATCAAAATATAACATATATACCAACAGAGCCTGAGACAAACAATCACATGATCACCTCAATAGATGAACAAAAAGCAACTGAAAAGTGAAAGTTCATTTCTCTTTCTAGGCAGGCTCAAGTCTGGGCTCATTATCAAGGTGATTTTTCTACATGACAAGAACATTTGTAAGTTAACTAAAAAGAGAAGTTAGAACCCAAATCTTTGATTTGTATTTTTGGTACCAGGACTCAAACTGACAACCTCAAGCTTGCCAGGAAGGTGCTGTGCTACTGAGGTATATCCCTGGCCCAAATCATTAAAAATGTTGTTCCATTCATACTACATTAACTGATAAAGTAGAAAGGAAAGTGCTATGGTATTATAGGTGATTTATACTGAAAAATATACACTTTAGAAAACAGTAAGTCTATTATTACTTATAAGTATTGAAATGGTTTGCAAACAGGAAATGAAAAATGAACACCCCCATTCCTTCTCTTCTTTCCAAATGGAGATGCTTGTCTTCAGGTCTTGTGTACCTCAGAATGTCCTTATTCTATTTACCTTCAAATGATCTATCTTCCTCACCTCTGTTAACACCGATGAAGTCTTCTTTCTATAGTAAATCTCAAACATAACTAAAAATGTATTTTCCTTTGAAAGAATTGCAGCTTCAGATTTCATATTCCTCAGCTTAAACCACACCCAACATGGCACAAAAATATTGTACTATGGCAAAGATAGAAAGTGTTGAAGAATCTGTGAGACTTGGACATGGGGATGAACAAGTAATGTTCTCAAGCAATGTAGATGCTGTTTGTCTTTTTGCCATTTGTTCAGTTATGCCTTCTCAGACAACTTCTGCCATTCTGATTTTTCTCCTGTGAACAGCCTGAGAGACAGGCTTTGTGAACCTGAAAAAAATAGTTTGCTTTGTGACATCACATGACAGCTTTCTAATGAAATAAACAGATAAATGGTGGATCAAAGGGGCATTAGATTTAATTATGCTACTGAGAAAAGAACATGATTTAAACTTTGTCAGATTTCATTTATGAATTTTCAGTTTTATATCATGGGACTCTTCTAGAAAGGTCAATCTTCATCCAAGAAGAGGAAGACTACGACTGTTCAGCTGGTGCCACACCCCAAAGACTGGACTGATAGTGGCAAAGGTTATATACTACAACCCCTACATCCCTGTATGGTTTTTGCTAGGTAAATCCCATGCCTCAGTTTCCACACATTTAATTCATATAACTGTTATTACCACACGCTTGTATTGCACACTAGTGGCTCTGTATTTCTGGCATCATACTATGCTATCGTTCTCATTATTCAATATTGCTTTTCTGCTGCCTGTATTCAATGCATTTTCTTTAGAACCCTAAGAATTTGAAATCCTGATGCACTTACATATTCAGAATCTGCTATTTATACAATACTGAGTTAATATGAGATGTTGTTTAACTTTTGTTTGTATGAGAAAAGTACACAATATGTAATAGGCAATAGGAACATACACCTTTCAAAAGTGGAGAGGAGCAAGAAATAGATGAAAAACAAAGAGGGAATGAGAAAGGCAAGAACAAAGAACTCAGATCTACTCTATAAATCAAATGCCTTCCAAAGATGAAATTACAATATATATAATACAAATAGCAATTAATAAAAATTATAAATATTTTGAAACAGCTTTTGCTTTTCTGTTTATCATCAGCATGTGAACATAGAGACACGCCATGAAACCTGGTAAAGCACACTTCTGAATGTCTCTGTGGATCCTTGTAGAGAAACTGAGATGTGAGTTACAGATGCAGGTGGGAAGCAATGGTCATGAGAATAATTGGTGCCATCCACGAAGACTCAGCATAGATGAATTAAAAACTTCATTAAAAAAGCTTCTAGCATATTGAAACTTCTTTTTTGGGGGGGTGGGGGTGGGGGTTTCTGGTACTGGGAATCGAACTCAAGACTTCACGCTTGCCAGGCAGGCACTGTGCCGCTGAGCTAAACCCCCAGCCCCTGAAATTTCTTAAAAAGGTGCAATTTTTAATAGTAAGACACAGACACAGAGACGACACATTTACATGTGATTTACTGAAAAACACAAAATGAATACATTTTAGGATATTTACATTTTTGACAACATATTCTGGAAATTATATTGACATATGTTAACTTCCCACTGTGAATTCTTTTAGGTTTTTTTTGTTTGTTTTTTTCCGGTACCGAGAATCAAACTCATGACCTCGCACTTGCCAGGCAGGCACTGTGCGGCTGAGCTAAATCCCCAGTCCTCTTTTAGGTTTTTGATAATCACTCTTTTTTTTTTTTTTTTTTGAGACAGGGTCTCGCTATGCAGTTCAGGCTGGACTTGAGTTCACTTTGTGGCCCAAGCTGGCCTCGAACTCACAATGATCCTCCTGCCTCAGCCTTCCGAGTGCTGGGATTACAGGTGTGAGCTACCATGCCTGGCTCAACAATCACTCTTATGTCACAAAGACTGCCCATATTGCTTACATAACAGGGTTTCTCCCAAGTATGGGATCTTCTATATCACCAAATATTCACATTATCAGCAAATCCTTTTCCATGTTTCTTGTGTACATAATCATTCTCCGCAGTATGAATTCTTCCATGCCCTTGACAGTTACTTTGTGAACTAAATGCATTACCACACTGCTTATATATATAGGGTTTCTCCCACTGTGAATTTTTTGGTATCTTTGCAAGCTATGATTTTTGATGAAAGATTTTCCACATTGCTTACATACATAGGGTTTCTCCACAATGTGGGATCTTGTCTACAAAATGTGGACTTACCAGCAAATCCTTTTCCATATATATATATATCTTTTGTATATATCTTATATATTATATATAAATCTTATACATATATGTATAAGATATAGATGATATATATATATATATAAGAAATATATGACATACATCTTATATATCTCACATATATAAGGTTTCTCCCCAGTGTGGGATTTTTTATGTGCACACAATTTGGACTGATCAGCAAATATTCCTCTGCATTTTTCAAATACACAGGTTTTTATCCCAGTGTGACATGTTTCATGACCTTCACAGTGACTGTGTACTGAATGCTTTCACACACTCTTTATGAACATATGGTTTCTCCCAAGAGTGGGACCTTCTATGTTGACAAAATGTGGTGGGTGTTTTTTTTTTTTCGGTACTGGGAATCAAACTCACGACCTTGAGCTTGCCAGGCAGGCGCTGTGCTGCTGAGCTAAACCCCCAGCCCCGACAATATGTGTTCTTAGCAAATCCTTTTCCATACATCCACATACATAAGGCTTTTACTGAATACGAGTTCTTTCATGACTTTGACAATGACTGTGTGAACTGAATGCTTTCCCACATTGCTTATATATAATAGTGTTTCTCCCCAGTGTGAATTCTGTGATGTCTTTTCAAGCTACTATTTTGCCTGAAAGATTTTCCACACTGCGTACATACGTAGGGTTTCTCCCCAGTGTGAATTCTTTCATGTACAAGGAGGGTATGGTTTTGGCTCAAAGATTTCCCACATTGCTTACACACAAAGGGTTTCTCCCCAGTGTGAATTACTTGATGTCTTTTCAAGCTACCCTTTTGACTGAAAGATTTCCCACACTGCTTACATACATAGGGTTTTTCCCCAGTATGAATTATTTCATGTACAATAAGTTTACTATTTGCATTGAAAGATTTCCCACATTGCTTACATACAAAGGACTTCTTCCCAGTGTGAATACTTTCATGACTCTGACAGTTACTGTGTCTGCTGAATGCTTTCCCACACTGCTTACATATATAGGGTTTCTCCCCAGTGTGAATTCTTTGATGTAATAGAAGGCTACCTTTTTGGCTGAATGCTTTCCCACATTGCTTACATACATACGGTTTCTCCCCAGTGTGAATTCTTTCATGACTTTGACAGTAACTGTGTCTCCTGAATGCTTTCCCACATTGCTTACATATATAGGGTTTCTCCCCTGTGTGAATTCTTTCATGTATAGTAAGTGTACCATTTTTGCTGAAAGATTTCCCACATTTCTTACATACATAGGGTTTCTCCCCAGTGTGAATTCTTTCATGATTTTGATAGTGACTGTGTGAACTGAATGCTTTTCCACATTGCTTACATATATAGGGTTTCTCCCCAGTGTGAATTCTTTCATGAACAGTAAGTTTGCTATTTTGCTCTACAGATTTTTCACATAGCTTACATACAGAGGGTGTCTCCTCAGCGTGAATACTTTCATGACTTTGATAATGACTTTGTGTACTGAACGCTTTCCCACTTTGCTCACATGCAGAGGTTGTCTGTGCAGTTTCAATTTTTTTATGTTTTTGAAAGGAACTACTAAGAGCTAATGCTTTTCCGTATTTCTTAGTTAGATTGGGTTTCTCTCCAGCATGTCTCCTTTCACATATCTGAATACAGTATGAAGAAATAAAACTATTCTCACAGTGCTTGTATACATGTGGATTCCTCAAACTGTGACTTCTTTTATGGATTTCAACACCACTGTTTGTTGGTAAGGTTTTCACACTTTTTTTACCTACAAAAGTTTTCTCTCCACGGTGATTTCGTTCACCAAGATGATTTCGTTCACTAAGATCAAAGTTGGCCTCTCCACACTGCTCATATTGATAGGGTTTCTCTCCAGTCTTTCTGATTTTGTGCTTTTCGAAGGACAGGAAAACACTGAAGGGTTTTCCATGTTCATTACATTTATATCGCTTCTCTTCAAACTGTAAATAATTGTCTGCATCACATCTGTAAATGAAAAAGAATGGTATCAATAAAAAAGAAGGGGCTGGGGATTTAGCTCAGCGGCAAAAGCGCCTGCCTGGCAAGCGCAAGGTCGTGAGTTCGGTTCCCGGTGCTGGAGAAAAAGAAAAAATAAAATGTCTCCATACTAAAAATTGTTACTTAAATGGAAAATTTGGTTTCACGCCTCTTAAGAAATTCTGATGATGAATCGACTTATTTCCATGGAGGATACCTTTAAATGTACCATTCTAAAAAAGAAGCTTTTGATTTGAGTGTTATAAATTGGTATATTATTCCTATACATAATATCAAGTTTTATTTTAGGTGATGGGTACATATGAGTATCAAATATTTTCATATTTGAGCTCTCCTCCCCATCACTCTCCACTCTATTTATCCTGATCATCTTTCCCATCTCCAAAAAGTGACGATTTCTGCTTCCTATCACCTCTCCTTAACTTTACTACCAAATAAGCTTTTAGTTTCCCATGTAAGAGAAAACCTGTGATATTTCACCTTACGTGCCTGCCTTATTCCACTTAACATTTTGGGATTGAATTGCAAGTGTTTTTGTCTTTTTGGCAAATGGTATCATTGCTCTTTTTTTTTGTTGTTTTTTTTTGTTTTTTTTTTCCGGTACCGGGAACCGCACTCACGACCTTGCGCTTGCCAGGCAGGCGCTTTGCCGCTGAGCTAAATCCCCAGCCCCTTCATTGCTCTTTATATAGCCTATTTTTCAGTGATAAGAGTTAAACACAAGTCTTAGCACTGAATCACATTTGCAGATTTATCCTTGCTTATTTTGAGAGAGATTCTAATTGACCATTAAATTTCTTGGCTGAACTTCGAGTTGTTGTCCTGCCAACTCAGCTTCCCTGAGTGCTAAGATTACAAGAATGCACCACCATGTTCAGCCAGCCCCATATTTTCTTTATCTAGGCATCCAGGGATGGGCATTAGGGCCCCCTACAGAGCTTAGCTATTGTAAATTGTGTCCAGAACTTAGATATTGTGAATACCCATTCATGTCTCGCTTTAAACAATACACTATATAGATCACTAAAATTTGATGATTTTAACTCATTTCAGAATATACTGAGAGCAAGGTATGGTGGCACTGTCCTGTAATCCCAGCACTTGGGAGGCTGAGGCAGGAGGATCCTTGCAAGTTCGAGACCAGCTTGGGTTACAAAGTGAGCTCAAAGCCAGCTCAAAGCCAGCCTGAACTGCATAGCGAGACCCTGTCTCAAAAAACAAGACAAAACAAAACAGAATATACCGAGAGAATCACCAAGCAGAGTGGCACACTAATTTCAACACTCACAAGGCTGAGGCATATGGCTCGCTATGAGTTCAAAGCCAGCTTGAGGTATAGATTAAATTCAAGGCCAACATGAACTGCAGTGTGAACCCTAGCTCAAAAAGTGGAAAGAAAAAAAAATACCCACAGACTTATACCTGTATCATATGTAAATATTTTTATTGATTTATGACACCTCTGTATATTGATTATCATTATGGTTTTAGTTTACATTCCCACAAACAATATATGAGGCTGACTTTCAAGACTTTTAAACATGAACAGCTCAATATTCTGGGGGATGACTTCCAAGTACTTCTTATGATAGAACTAGCATTAAACTGCATTATGAATACTGCTTCCATGTGAGGCATTTTCTAGATCACAAATATCTCATATTCACTTGTATCCACAAATGGGTATTTTGAAGATGTGTTTCTGTCTAAATTCAAAATTTGCTGTGTGTCGCAGCACACAGCCTACAATCCTAACACTTGGGAGGCTGTGGCAGGAGGATCTTTGCGAGTTCAAGACCAGCCTGAGCTACAAAATGAGCTCAAGGCCATCCTGAACTGCACAGCAAGACCCTGTTTCAGAAAGACCAAAAAAAAAACAAAAACAAAATTCAAAGTTTATCCATTTCATATATGCCTAAGTATAATACTTAAATCCAATCTCTTATATTTCCACAACGTTGATCATGAAGGAATATTTTAGACTGATATAGGACAATGTGTTATTTATGGCATGGTATAATTACTACCGGTTTCCTATATTCCGATATTTTTCTGTGGACTGACATGTAACACAACATCAACCTGAATGCACCTCTGCATAGTTTTGTGTGGTTAAATCAATCAATTGGGCCATGGTCTGCTATCTTCAGTTTCATTTACTGTAACATTGCTGCTCACACACTGACTTTTAAGAATACTCCCTTTTTCTTGTAAGTGAAAATTACCTTAGTTTTCCTGAGCGATCTCTGTCCTCTTCTTCAATTTTCTGGTTATCCCATGTTCTTCCTGTATGGTAGACATACTAGAAAAATCACTATAATATTATATCAAAATTCATAGATTCCAGTAATAATTATGGTATAATGTAACATGGCTTGAGATATACTTCAACATTTTATAACATTCAAATTTATTAAGCTATGTCACTGAGCAATAATTAATGCTCCATGATTCAATAAGTAAGAAAAAGATATCATGCTTACCTATAGCAGTCATATTCATAAGTGTTTCCCACATCACACTTCCGTAGAGTTTCTTGTGGGATGGAGTCAGCAAAGCCCACTCTGCCGAGCTGAAGTTCACCGCTACATCCGCAAAGGTCACTTTCTCCTAAATAATGACACATTTCCTCAACTTCAGACACAAACTGATACATCTCAGCTCCTCTCATAAAAAACTCAACTGAGGATTATTCTTTGAAATGAGAACTGTTTACCTAGTCATCAAACCCATTTATATGCACATATTTTCACACAGTAAATCTGACGCTAGACTGTAAAATATTGCCAAAACAACCACAGCTTTTTTCATTGCTTTTCCCGTTGGGGTCTATACTGCACTTGTGCGCTGTCTTTAGAGCAGATCTCATAGAGGGAGCACGGAAATCACTGACAAAAGTAAGAAGCAGAGCAACATCTAAGGAAACATCTAAGGAAAGGTTCTGATGCACCATAAATTATCTCTTTTCACATCTGTTTATTGACAACAATGTGTCCACCTTCCATTGTGCTTAGGTCACACTGAGTCTTAAACCTTTTGTTTTAGAAAAATATTTCATTGAATATTAAATAAGATATATGAATAATTAAAAAGTTAACAAAAACAGGTTTATAGAACCTGTCTATTGACAATGAATGTAGGGGAATAGCAGCATATAAACTTACAGCTTTTGGAAACCGAATTATCTCCTTGCACTTGAGTATTAAAAATATTGGTATGGTGTAAGGGAGGATAATGTAGGAAAGGACATAAAATATAGGAAATGCAATGAAAATCAAGATACTACAAGCAACTAGTCAGTAAATACAAAAGTAAAACTTCAGCCCAATGAGATGGTATATGCTTGCTCTCCCGAAACTTGGGAGAATTATGTAGCATGATTGTTATGAATTTCACAGTTGGTATAAGTTCAATATCCAACCTGGGCTGTGTAGTAAGGACAGTCAAGATTACAAAGTGAACTGGGCGTGGCAGCGCACGCCTGTAATCCCAGCACTCGGTAGGCTGAGGCAGGAGGATCGCTGCAAGTTTGAAACCAACCTGGGCTACAAAGTGAGCTCAAGACCAGCCTGAACTACATAGCGAGACCCTGTCTCAAAAAAGATTACAAAGTGAGACACTTACTCAAACTCAACAAAAATGAACATTTAAAATAATACTGATTCAAGCTTGACGAAGTGGTGCTTGCCTATAGTCTTAGCAGCCATAGGCTGAGGCAGGAGGATCACTGTGTGTTCAACTACAGCCTGGGCTAAAAACTGTTTTCAAGTCCAGCCTGAACTGCATAGTGAAACTCTGTCTCAAAAAGACAAAAAAAAAAA